TTGACCGATGAAAAAATCATGAATCGCTTGTCTCGAAAGTTTATTAGTTTACCAGCAAGAGCGCAAAAGCAATTTGCACTTCCATTCTAAAATCAAAAAGGCACATATGATGGAGACAAGAAACGAGAAACGTAGTCAGTACGAGATTCTGCTAAACCTAAAACTGTATCAAGATTAATGACAAAGAATAACAGCAGACAGGCAAAACTGTGCAGACTATTCGGACCAGTTTTGTTAACTTCCATAGCATACATTATACGAAGTTATCGAACCATAGCAACAACAACGAGAAAAACACCCGTACTACCACTCCAAATCTCGAAGTCTGATTGGGCGTGTCACCGGAAATGACGTGGCAGCCACCGCACTTGATAGAAATTGCGCGGATAAGCTGCTTCCAGCATGCTTCGCTGATATCTGGCGGAGTATCTTATCCACGTGGCATCTAGCAAGTGCGATGGCTGCCACGTCATTTCCGGTGACACGCCCAATCAGAGTTCGAGATACCGACTGTACTTTCAAAGTATAAACAACGCAAAAAAGAAATGACGTGCAATGAAATTAAAGACAAGCGTAGTAGCACATTTACTTAAATAGAAACCCTGAAATTTTTATGCCGCTTTTATTGCTTCCACTGTGCTTCTTTCGTTGACTTCAGCTAGCTCAAATCCTCCGATTCTGGCTTTTGTTCACAGATCAAATCATAATGAGAAATCCGTCCTGAATTGTATTCATGTCATGACTGAGAGCTCTCGGAAAGCTGCTGCTCCTTGAGGATTTGCGTTGACACTGCTGAGCTGTCACTATTCTCCAGTCGACGTTTTGCAGCCCGAAGAGCATTCTTATGTTTTTTCCCCGCAAGATGATTATTCCTAGAACACCACTGTTGTGAGGCTTAATTGGAAAAATAGCTAAATCTAAAAAAAAAACCAACATCCAGTTACGTATAAGTTGAGGAAATGTGTCAATGATCCGATTCGAATACAACGGTTAATATCTTTAGCAGCATATACAAATAATCAAGCCAGCCAATGGTACGCATTTATCAACGCAACTACCAGGAAAGGTCATTTGGTCAACCCGGCCATTTGAAATGAGATGTATATATGTATACGCGCCTTGGGACGCTGAGCTCAAATATGTGTTCCTTATCTGCTGAACTCTTCTCTGAAAGGAATTATGAAGCAGAAAAGCGCAGGGGCTGTGGTTCCTGCCAGGCTTCCTTTAAAGCGAGCGGTCACGATGGCTTCCCATCGCTGATTTTTTTACCCTCGGTCGATAAGGTGTGAGGCAGTAATTGTTGGACGAGTGTAAGCCCATGGAAGATATGATACGATGAGATAAGAAGGTGCGGCTGCTTGATAAGAGGTGCACTCCAGAATGAAAACGGGACGATAACGATAACGGTATCATATCTAGCACGCTCTTATCGCACCCCTTTCCACATCGATAAGTCTTGGTTTTTGCTGAACGGAAGTGGATTTCGGCGCCTTATCACTCCGTTGATAAGGCGCCACTGCCACTGAAACTTCACGTGTTGTAACACTGGGCAGGACCTCTATCCACTCCAATACATAGCTTCCCTTATCGTTCCCATGAAAATTATCGTGACCACTTCCTTTAATCACTTTATAGGGCAATCCTTCAGCAACTGTGCGGCATCGCTGATCATTACTTTGAGCGCTTGTAGCGCAGGCGCCAGGCATTTTTGCTTCGAACAAGTATGATTTTCGTATTAGGGAGCCAGACTCCCTCTAAGCAAACTTCTAGCGAATTCTGAAATTTTGACTTAACCACGAAAATTTGGCCGTCACTTTACTATGCCAACGATTCCACCAATCATATACAAAAGTCTGGCAACCTGTGGTAGAATAAACATTTCTCAACTACTTCATAGATGGACAAATCAGTTGTCTAGCTTAGCCCAGTGCTGTGCATACATAACAAGATGTGCAAGCGTTATTTCTCAACACCTGGTTACCAGAACTTTTCCCCGTCGTCCATGATTGGTCAACCCAAAAAAGTGGAGTTTGAGGAGTGGTAATCCCACATCACTGCTCCGCTTTTTCTCAATTAGTTTCGTTGACCTCAGATTTGGCGAAAAACTCGCTTTTAGGGGTAGTTTGATCCCCTGAATATGAATATCACACCTACTTGCCAAGAGGAAGCATAGCACATGCACTACTGACTGGTGTTCACTCACAGATGTCTTAACTTTAAGAGGAACTACTTGCAAACTCTCGTAGATGTGGCGCCGGGCGAGATAAAATAACGGATTAAAAACGGCTTTTCAGCCATGTTGAAAAAAAGCATAGACAAACCGAACCCGGACCCTCCCCACTTTCCGCTTCGTTTCCTTTCATACCTTTATAAGAGCTACATGTGATTGGAGGCAAACACTGAAAATCAAGGGCGGCAACAAAAACCCTCCGTAACTCCTTTCAGAGAAGAGTTCAGCAGATAGTGAAAGCAGATTTGAGTTCAGCGTCTCATGCTGCGTACAGAAATGTGCACCTCATTTCATTTGGCCGGGTTGGCCTAATGACCCTTCCTGGTAAGTCTAACCAAAGAATGCAATTCATCAGTCAATTTGGAGTTATCCCATCACAAATATTAGTACGCGTAGAAAGCTAAACTCACCAATTTCTTGTGCCAGCCACGAAAATTTCACATACTTCGCAAAATCGCGTCATGTTGGCATCCACACTATTTTCAGCTTCACCGGTGAACTGAAACTTTTTTAGTTCTGAAGATTGTTGCCAAATCTAAAAAAAAATGAAGGGTTGACGCACGACTGTCATTATATTTGGCGATAGGCATTTGATCATAGGTGCCGCACACACGCTTTAGCCGCCCGCAGCTGCCAGCCACTTATCGCGAACATAATTTGACTTCCGTAATTGACTAATGCGGCCATCAACGGCCACAACGACAGTCTTCGGGAAATGGAAAATTTTTAGACCTAGAACAAGGAAAAAGGGAGGCATCCAACAAATAGGTCCGTTAGTCCCTCCCCTAGGAAGAAGAAATTTGACAAACTGGCCGCTTTTGGTGTTCAGAAGTCGACGTGGCTAATGCAATATCTCATTCCCCGTACGCACGGTCCATTTTTGGCATATTTACAAGAAAAAATCGCGAAATTTTGTCAACCTACACCCTCATTTTCGAAGCAGGCAGCTGATTGGTTACCAACTCACACATTGATCTTTCGAATGATCACAATGCACGCACTTCTAGATGACTGGGCCGACATCGCGGCCATTGGCAGGAATGGCAACAAAATTGGAAAAGGACCTGAGAGTCGATGGGCCACCCCAACGGGTGGACGGTGCGTTAAATTAGCCATTCAGGATCTGCGAAATTCTGCATTACTGTCCCAACATTCGACTCTCTCGCTTCAGTCAATTAATGTGCACTCTATCAGTAACCTGTGGACACTTTCCGTCGGCGATCATTGCACTTATTCCATCATTGAATATGATATTGTTTAAGATATTCCTCGTCAGATCGCCATAGCTAACTTTCGGGAGAATCGGAAAACCAAAAAGTAGTAAGAAATGTAGAAACGAACAAACTGGTTCAACTTAGCCCTCCTAGAGAATTCGAGAAATGCAGACTTCCGCCCAACTGGAGATTTGAGAATCCGTAAACACTTCTAGATATTGTCGATTCGCTGGGTCCGCGCTTCTCTCGTGTTTGAGTACCTCTCTTTTTCCCAGGATTCCCTAATTCTTCAAAAACGCTGGATATGAGAGCTACTCTAGTACTGACAGTAACTTGTCTGCGCTTAGTTCTCTGTGAGTTCCTATCCATATTTATGGTCTGGCTCCTAACAGCTACAGCATTTCACAAACGGTGAATCTAATAAATAAACATCGCATAATACATAGAACAAGCGCTCACTTCTTCTTTGAAATCGCAACCGCTCATCCATTGTTCCACATAAACGCAGGCCATCAGCAAGAAATGTTTCTTGGTCAGAAGTGTCCAGTCTTTTTCAAAGAGGGTACCTAAATAGTAGCACTTGATGTTCAGCTCCTTCAACTTTATTTTCATTTATACATAAAGGAAACTGTTCCAGTTTTAACACTGATTTTTTTCACAGTCCGCAAAGAAGTAACTCAGGAGACAACCATTGCGGCAATCTTCGCTCTAAAAGAATCTTCTACGGAAAAAGCTCCGCCTCCATTACCACAGAAAAACGATACCTTAGGCCCCTAGCCTCATGAGCATAGCAAAAAGAACGGAACATAAGCGTTAGTTTCGATAATACTAATCCTACACACAAGACAAAATGATCACTCTTTCCGTGGAAGATTCCTTGAAAGGTGCCGGTACAAGACGTGGTCGTTTCGGTCACTATAAGAGGAAAGAACAGGTTCAAGGATAACATTCGCAACGCTGAACACTACCCACCGTGGACTTACAAGTTGGTTAGTCTACACTTATCTGGTGCGTTTCCTCAGAACCCTACTTGAGCCTTGCTACTGAATAGAAGTGAATGCGGATGAGCACCAACTTCTCTAGCTTCCTGCCGTCGGATGAATCGCGAATTCACCCAATTACGTTGTCTCCGAGCGTACTGCCGCGTGTGGAGTTTAACATCTTCGCACCTTCAAAAAACGTTTGTCACATTTGACCACTCTTTATAAACAAAGGAGTACCCGAAGCGATGCTACCATATCCGTCACAGTGAGAAAAAATTAACGCAAAAACAAAAGAAGGGAAAAGAGAAAGGAAGAAAGAAAAAGTTTGGAAATCGTGTCCGAAAACAATGAAAGAAAAAGGATAAAACAAGAAAGCTCACCCTTTTTCGAAGAGGATTTCGCCTTGTGGGGATGCTCTATCTTCTTTTGACAACTCCAGATAGGGGACAAATTCCTTTAATCCAATACATTGCAGCACTCCATAGTGATCTCTGTTGACGAGCTTGTTTCGATTCTTAAAAATTATTGCATAATGCCAATTCAGAACTCGACAACTTCCATCTAGCCCACCTCATCGTAGTACTCCTCCAACTCTCTTCTCAGTCCCATTCTTTTCATCTTTTCCACCCTTCTGTCTAGCCGCTCCGCTAAGACTTCTTTTGCTGCATCCAGTGAAAGTACCTGGAGAGGAGATCGTGAGCATGAAATGAAAAGCAACATTTTGCACTGTTGCGCTTCGAGCTGGCTTGGGTCTTCGTCCCACTTTTTACGTAGCCCCCTCCCCCTTAGCCTCACTCAGTTTACGTCAATTCGAGCAAGCGGGCGAGCAAATGCCACAGAAGGTGTAGTAGTCGTGCAGTTGATGCTTTTGTCCATATTGATGCATTCACAACAACGCGCGTTTTGGCTTTTTGACCGCGTGGTACAGGCGTGATTTCGCGAAAGGCCGCCCCCACCCCCTTGGGCTCACTCAGTGATTCTGTGCAGTAAATAAACAGAACGTGAACAACACGAAGTACAGTTTCGGTAATAGTAAGAACTTAGAAGCTATCTAGAACTATAACAGCACATTGAGGGCTTCTTTGCCTCATGAAAACGCGTGTATTGTCATCTACAAAGTTTCATATTTTCTTTCAGTACTCTTTTCATTCAAATTTTTATAGAACTTAGCAGAAATGAAGAGCGAACCGGTCCAAAGACTTAATTCTTCTGAGAAAGCCTTTTTAGAGTGAGTATCTTAGTATCTAATCTTTCAGGGTACAATACCGTTCAGAATGATGTATATATCTGTCCGACATCAAAAAAAAACCACAAAAAAATTCCGATAGAAGTGATTGGGATGTAATTATTAGCTGTCGGGCCAAATGGGCTGCCATCGTCCCACGAGCACACGTCCCTGGCAACTCATGTGGACTGCCACTGGTGTGAATGTCATTCCTATTTGTATTTTATATATCCTAACCTGGGGTATTTCTAAATGTGAATTTGTGCAGCATCATTTTTGCCGGGCGGAATTCGATTTTTCAAAGCAGGTTCTTATCATTGAACGGACGTGCAGCACAAATAACTTCTCAACCCGTTCTGCAAGCATTATGGATTGGTCATGCAAGATTTGACACAAAGCTGACTCTTTCAGCCCGACGGTGCATTTATGCTTGACAGCCAGTTGCGATTATTTCGCGTAAGTGACTGTCTGCAAACTCCGTGGATGTGGATAAGTCGGCAGCCGTCGGCAGGAAACGGTAGGAGGTAACATAAACAAACATACATTTGACCACATCAGAATTATTGCAATCCAAGATACACAAAAAAGAACTGAAGTTTAATCTATTTGATACTCAATAAAAAATGTAATAAGAAGGCTCACCAACGATTCCTGGAAACGAAGTCGACCACCCAAATCACATGAACCAGTAGATTCCTTTTGTATCGCGCAAAATGTCGCTCTTTCTCTTCCCTGCAACATATTACTAGGTCGGCACATAATTTGTAAGCCACAATGGCTGTTTTCAGTTTTATTATTATTTCTGTTTCTCTTATATACTTATCCAATATACAGTATACGCCACCCGTTATAGACACTGGGAAGATGAACAACTACAGAGAAGCGAGAGCATTTTTACATACAGAGGATGAAACTAAAAGAGATGCGTGATAGGGCATGACACTGAGATACCGACAACCAAGGACAGCCTAGAGTTGTAATTTTCCCAGCAACTGCAACTAGATTCCGAGCGAGCATAAATATAATGGAAAGGGAACTTCACCATTATACTTTACATCACTTGGAATTGCCCTCTTTCGATGCAAATTATGCGGAGTGGTTAATCAAAATCCTATTTGATCAGCTACCTGTCAGGTTGTAGACTTCTATGGCACGCAAAACTCGCGCGCGATTATTTGGATGAACAAGACGAGCCGATTTGGATCAATTTTTTTTTTTTTTTTTTTTTTTTTTTTTTTTTTTTTTTTTTTTTTTTTTTTTTTTTTTTTTTTTTTTTTTTTTTTTTTTTTTTTTTTTTTTTTTTTTTTTTTTTTTTTTTTTTTTTTTTTTTTTTTTTTTTTTTTTTTTTTTTTTTTTTTTTTTTTTTTTTTTTTTTTTTTTTTTTTTTTTTTTTTTGTATTAAATAATTTTTATTAAAAAAGTTTTTGCCAGTGGTTGGCTTCAGCAAATATGTATCAGATCATACTGTTGATATAAAAATCAAAACCGATAACTAGTAGTAGAGAGATATACTATTTTGTTTGAAAAAAGAAGCCCTCATTTCTATCAAGTTTGAGTTCAAAATGCAACCTCGACAAGCATCTGATGCAGTTCACCATTCGACAAATTGTTGAAACACCCATCACTATCAGACTCGCTATCAGAACCTGAAACTCGTGCCAAAATGAAAGACATGAATCTTCCCATTCGCACTTCTAGAATTCAGAAGCATAGCCTCGCATTCGAAGCTGCATTTTCTACAGATATGATAAATACCTGGAGTTTCTATTATATTTTCTTCGAATAAAAGACTCTCCACATAATATGCCGTACCACCGACCACTACCGGGATGCAGCCACGAGACCTGATATCCTGTAAAACTCAATGAAACTTGGTTCGCGCATAGGAAGACACAACTACTCGTGAAAACTATGTTGAGGAGCGCCAATGCACATTAAGAAGGGCGCCGACCATTATAATTAAAGGCAAGGGGTCACTTCCCGGGAATGGAAGAAAAACTATGGAAACGATCCAGACACATGAAGACTCTGAAACTTTCCTCGCCCGCTGAGTTCCGCGTTGATGCACTATCATCGGTGGTGCCCTCCTCAACAAACACTCCCCGCTAGACTTGCGGCGAGGGGAGAGCCAGTTGATGGGCGTGCAGCGGGGACAGCTGTGCGGGAGGGCCATGATAGATAGCTGGGCATATCGTACTCTGCTCTGTTGCCGCGCCCATGAAGGTAATTCTCCTCGCGACCTCGATCTTTATCGATAATATCCTTCTTTAAACTTTGACAGATCTCAAGGATGTGTCCACATTTAAATCCACTGATGAGTGGAAATAAGTGCCGGCAATAAGACAGATTGTACGAGTACTTTTGTTAGGAAGAGGACCGTATTCCATAACTCCATGCCACGCATGGGTGGCCTTGCCTGTGGTTTCTATGCACATCGTACTTGACAGAAATGGAAGTCTGGAAGTATGAGCACCTTTACATTCAACCGCCGTCCCACTAGTATATTTTACTGCGTCTCATCGTTTTTGAACTGAATGGTTACTCAGAATCTTTGAAGCTCCATACAAGATCATCTTGAACCCCAACAACCCGTTAGAAATAAGGGGCCAGAGCATCGCGAACCCGTAAGATCTGCATAAGAACACACTAGGCCTCGAATTAGGAAAAAGGCATGCGCCCCACTTCCAAAGAGTCGCTGTTTATCAGGAAAACTCCTTGCGAACTGCATTTTCACTCAGCCCACCTCAATAATCTGCAGGCCTTCCATGCGGAAACTGAGATGAACATTGTACTTAGCTGTAGCAGCATCAACAAAACTCATCAAGTAGTGAGGAACTCCTGCTGCCTCTTCTTTTGTTATCTTGTTTGTGGCAATGTCAAGTCCTAAAAAGTCAACTAGCCAATTTCAGTGAACTTTTTGCAAATCAGAAAATATGAAATTCTGGTAATTTTAGAGTAACCGTCGGTTAACAAACACTTTATGTTTCCCCCAACTCGGAAAAAAATAAATAGAACAACTGAAATTACATTTTGAATATCCTCCTTTGAATGATCACTGTTTGGAATGAACCCCTCCTGCTCAAAAAATTAAAAAGAAAATTGGAGATTCTTGATATGTAGTCGAATTCTCACATCACCGTAAATTCACTCTTCTACGCAGTTTCCGTGATATCCTACCTTTATATATTTGCATCGAGTCAGCACTTATCACTTCTCCATTGTACTTTTTCGCAATAGCAACACCCAAATCACTTTTGCCAGTTCCAGTACAACCGATAACAAATATTACCTGAATAGGTTCAAATTTCAAGCTTACCTTGACCCATACTCACTCCATACCAATCCAAAAGATGAAATTTATTTTCAAATCCTTGTAAAAATACGACTCACTGGGTTCTTGCGCGTCGTCACCATTTTAGGATGCCGTATACTACGTAGCCAAGCTAACGCTCTCAGCATGCATTACAGTAGCTCGGAGTAGCTAAACAGACAGCACAAATAACAAATATCGACATTTTTTGACCTTATTCTACATAAATGCGCACAAAAGAAACCAAGCTCATAACGGATACCAAACCATATCAAAAGTACGACGTGAGGCGTTGACCTTCTGAATATGAACATAAACCTCCTTCGAATAATTTATCAAAGCCTAACGAACCAACTCAGAAAACTATAAAACTCAAATGAGAGTAAAATGAAAGAGTGACAACAAAAATTCAACTCAGAAATCATTTCCTATCTTCGAAAAACTTTTTCACCAATTCCAGCGCTTTTGCTCTATGACTAATTTTGTTCTTAGTGGCTTTGTCCATCTCAGCAAAAGTTTGAAGATATCCTTCTGGCTGAAACATCTATCAGTTAGGATCTACTAGTGATAAGCGTCTTCCCATCACACAGCTGAGTCGTACCTGGAAACAAGGGTCCCATCCAAAATCTGGAGGTCCACGTGGGCTCACTATATGCCCAGGACAGCGACCTAAACAACAATTTTTTTTCAAAAAATCATCAGCATCTCGACTTTGATGAAATGACGAAGTAGAGGTTCGTGTAATACTTATTCGATTCAGCTTACACCTGTCTACGACTCAGTTTTCGAGGCACTTTCCTGTGTGCGGAGCTGAAATCTCAAGAAATTTATATCTCCAAAACTGTGCTCACTCTCAAATTCATTTCTGGCGCTGGTGAGATCTGACGCCTTCCACAAGTTCGGACTAAATTTGCGAATAGGACTAATTTTGTGTCTCGGTTCAGCAGATGACTTTCATTTCAGCTACCTAGCCATTATCGTGCCTATTTTATGTTCGTCTGCGCCCCCTCATCATGACATAGCGCTAAGGCTAAGATTAGTGGAGATGCGGGACACCGTGGTGGGTGAAGCACTCCTGTGATCTCACACAATCCATTTTTGTCACATGATCGTGATTTACCCAACCGGAGTTCTCCCACTCCCCACCCCTCCCCCCCCCCTTCCCCCCTCCAGAAATTCAAACAATTCGGGATCCGCATTGTGAAACAGTGCCAGTTTTAGATCACAGACTGCCTCAACCTCCACCGTCCTTTGTGAAATGCTAGGTGGATCTTTACAGATCTACCCCTTCTGTAAAGCCCACAAGCAAATATAGTAGGTTTCCTGAGGACAATTTTTTTTACTAGATTGCGCTTGCTCCAAAGGAACTGCCAACCGTGAGTAAAGCATGCGAGTGCGTGGTAGAAAACCTGCGGACAAGGTACCTGTCTGTGGGAAGAGGGTCGTATTTTGTGATTTTAGGAGAGGGGCCGTGCTCGGAGAAAAAGGCATATTTTTCATTGTGATCAGGGAGGTAGCTTTTCAGTAAGTTGGATTTTCGATAATATAAGAGAAGTTTCAGAATTTTTGAGTCTCAACAGTTACGTGTGAGTCGCCCAAGCTTCCTCTGGACGCGACAGTTGACCCTCTCTGTGATGAAGGCCTAGACAATAATGAGAATAGGTAACTGATGGTTGGCATCTCTTCATACCCCTTCTCACCTATAGTTGACCCAGCTGGTCTCTACTGGGAAACACACGCAAGAAGGCTATTTCTCCACTGAGAGAAGTCGGTAATCAAACTCACTCACCAAATGTGCGGCCTTTATAGCTATCCACAACTCAGAAGCAATTGGCGTAAAAGATCCCTACACACACCAGATTCACCTGTATAGTTATCGAAATATTGAATGTCTAGAGGCAGCTGACTCTAAGACACATGTGAAGGCTGTCCTTTCCCCTGGAAAGCAACATAGTACATGTTGGTATTGCTGCACTGTACGTCGCTAAACTAGCTAAGAAGTGAAACCTTTATAAAATGAAATACACATTTTCTGGCTGACCGAACGCTAGTTAGGTTTCTTTGCAAAAGAATGCGCCGCAGAACTAAGCTATCCGTATCATTACCTTGACGGTCATATTATGTGTTACGTCAACGACCTCTTACATTACTAGAGAATGATACCAACCAAGCATTTGGTACAAGCCGGCTGGACCAAGCTTCTTCAGAAACCATTTGATGTAGACACCTGGTAGACCTTTGAAAGCGTTGAAACATAGACTTGTGTCCTCTACCTTAAACAAGGATCAAATCAGATACTTGAAAAAATTGATGATATCAACTAGTTTTTGCTACGACACCTTTTACGTTACATCTTTCACTCTCTACGAATCTTGATTGTCGTCAAAAGAGAAAATTGAGTAATTTCGATACCACTCGACCGAGGAATTATAGGCATAAGGCACAAACGAACAAAAACTGTGACGTTGAGTTTAACAAACAAATTAAGAATGAGGGCATGACGCTCATTAAGTCTCTTGAGAATTTATTCTACCCGTTCCAGGCCTTTTCTGCTGCTTCCAAAATGGTACAGTGTCACCATGTTGTGAATCATCAATTATTAGATAATCAACACAAAGTAAAAGCGTACCCATGATACGGGAACCACAAGAGAATGTATCATAGTGAAAAATTCAAGGAAACAATTCAACAACAACCAAAAAGAAACTTAACGTCATCATCAAGTGTGACGTACAGTTTAACAAAACAAGTAAAGAACCAGCAGATCAAGCCTTACCAGTATTGGTCCTTGCACTTGCTCGGCAGCCTCCCTGGCTTTTCGCTCCGCGACATAGTCAGGCTCACCTTGATACTCATCAACATCTACATCAGACAGCGCGAACCTACACAAAATTTGAATTACCCTATACCCACACTTTTAAAATCTATCGGACTTGGTGCGATCTCGAAATGCATATAGAATGTATTCTTCTTCTGCCTATCATACCAAGAGTCGAATATTTGTGAGGAAACCTTGTTTATCGATCACGATCCTTTAAACCACCCATAGTTGTAGATTCGGTCACTCCATGACGTATAGAACTGCATTCTCACAGCTGACCAGACGTCCTCATTGGAACTCCCGAAGATTAAAAACTGATGGACAAGCTCAAATGGAAAAAAAGCAAATATAGTGCGTTAGTTTCGTTAAGTCATCGCACAACATGCAGCAAATTCGTAACCATACCCAAACATAAACGAAACCGGAACCGTGATCTGTGGAGGCCCCTCTTAAGCTTTCTCCTACACTCCAAATAGTCTCATCCAATGAGAAGGGACATGGGTGAGCGACATTCACCATACAGAAATCCCAATTTCAGATAATAAATCGACGAAGGTGGCGTGACCACTCCACCGCTTTGGCAGCCCACGCCGAACATTGTTCCCTGCAAAGAATTCAAACTTTGGGTGATAGAAACTTATGCACCACATGCGTCCTTCCCCCATCCCACTTCTCCTTACTAAGACCTCTAAAACGATTAAAATCACATTAATCATAAAGACAATCCTCCTACAACCATAGCCTCTCATTGCCACCACATTTCTGAACCAAGTACAACTGGTTATTAACCAGCATACTCCAAAGATTGTGAAAACCAAAATACTTTATAGATAATAATTCCATCGTATCAGACTATATAGAACATAAAAAGCCCCTCGCACAGACATCATAGAAATCTCACCCCGCTCAAGCTGGGTGGCAGTAGCAACAATGAAAAATGATTCACAGAAGAAATCGCCCAATCTTCAGCGGAGTTTTCGAAAATTTCCTACTATGCTATCAGAGGGTGCCATTTATTATGTCCACATAAAAACCACGACAATAAAAGCATGACAAAAAGGTAAAGGAACGCAACCCGTCGCTTGAATATGGATTCATCGCCTACAATATTCCAGATCAGATTAGCGCAGCAGTGAAAATCTAGCGAAAGCGACTAACATTACCGGATCTTGTGATCTCATATCCTAAACCAACAATTTCCGAGAATCAATATTTTCTAAAGGACTTGATGGATGGAAAAATAGAAATTTGAAAATAATCCTCATTCACAGAGCAAAGACAATCATCAACCTGCATCAAGAACCTGTATGAAAAAGGCGAGTTCAATGCTTTTTTAAGAGAACCAATCTTTGAGAATGCCATTAACTACTGAATTGTTACAGGTGGAAGCATTACCACTTATATGGTAAGAGGTCCAGTCACTGAAAGACGTTTGAGCCTCCATATCCCTCGTCGACGGGGGCAGAGTCGAGTGAGATGATTCGTCTTCAGAGAAATTGAAAGAGGCCCATTCTTCAAACAACACCGGGCTTCTGTTGGCTTTAGGTGGAGATGACAAAGGGTACAGTCTTGGATACGGCCCCTTGTATGTATAACGATCAGACCACTTTTGTGGTTTGTGTTCCTCGCACGGCTGCGGCTGTACACCATTCAGTATAGCTGATATGGTTCCTTTACTCGTTGGATAGGACGTCGCCTCAGGTACTTGTCGTTTGGCACGGTCCCAGGCGGAAATAGCGTTAGCGTACCGCACCTTTTTCTCGTTAGCACGATGTGTTTGTACAACAGGACCATCCCGTGGTCTCTTCCTCGACTGCAGTTGAAAGGCAGGTGGTATTGCCACTTTTGTTTGTAACGGACCCGCGGTCGACCGTCTAGATGACTTAAACATCCCAGCAATGTCCGCTCTTTTTGCCTGCTCAGACAATGACGCCTGTCTCGCCGCTGACAGAATCGAATGGGTAAGTTCTTGACCTTTGGTCATCGGTGCAGTTACAGATGGTTTGTCGGCGTACCTCACTTCCACATCAATATTATATCGCTCCTTCGCCACCGGTGCCATCAAATGAGGAATGGTTGCCATGAACCCGGAAAAGAGCGAAATATTCTCTGGCGTACAGCGTTTTGGAAACTTCAACTTCACCGGATTGGAACCGCCAGCCGATGTCATCTAAATAAATAACACTTTCCATGCACACATTACTAACCTCAAACGACGATAGTATCGCTCTCACTTCCGCCAACTTTCCAGCATTACCAGTTACGAAAGTTATTGTACGTGACATTACTAAATAAATAACTTTTCACATAAAAAACGATCACTTTACAAAGCCCTTCGAAGGCCGCTTCATAGAAATTCTGTGTGAATATTTCGCAGTTCTCAATCTGTGGAAAATCCATACCACATTAGCCACACACGTTTTTAAAGGTGGTTGGAAGAGTCGTGATCACGGACGGGCAAGCGTTCGCGTGTGGCGCTGGTAAAATGATCACAATCTGATCAGACAATTGTCTACAGATGGCTTTCATCCACTCCCACTACTACACCGCAACCGATACCAACCAATCATTTTGAAGGCCAAATCCTTGGTGCAATCCCGTCCTAGCCAGCCATCTCTACATCATTGCTGGCCGGTTGAACGGTACCAGTCAGCACGTTGACGACAGGCTGATGCGCTATTCTTTGATATGGCAGAAGTTTTCAAGGCCTTACGAAAATGTTTGTCCAGTTCATCCCTCGTTTTTATTTTTCATTGACGTAAGCATGTAGATAAAAAGGAATGATGGAAGTGAATACAAATTCATTCGTGTTCATCGCCCTACTAACTATAAAGCGCTTCGTCTGTCGTTCTGTATGTCTGTCACGAAATTCCCTAGCTCCTCGGGATCCGCCTGGAGGGACCGGGTCAAGTGTGGGATGGGTGGGCAAGGTCTCACGAAATACAAAACACACATCAGCTAAGCGGAGCCCCGCCCACAGAGGGCGTGGCGTGCGTCGAAATGAACTGTACCGAAGACCAAGATTTCGATTTCAGTGACAAAACAACCTCGAAACTGGGCCAAAAAGTGGGTAAGGTGTGCATTGGTAAGTCACATCGAATTAGGGAGACCCACCCCCGGTGGGCGGGGCGTTCTCTAAAAAAGCAGTGCTTTATGAAAAATTTCATAACTCGGTTGGGAGAAAGCCTACAGAGCAGAAAACAATTTGGTGTAAGGGAGCAATGTCTAAGGTGTTTCCTGCATACATGACGTGGGCGGAGGCCCGCCCAGAATGGGCGGGGCGCGCTCTGAAGTGTACAGCATTTTCTAAGCTCTCATAATTCCTCAAAGCAGTTGCCGTGACGGTTTACAAGAGCTGAAAAAAAGTGGACGAGTGATGGAATAGTGAGCCAGCTGTCATATGGGGGTCGGGGCCCAAAGTTTCGGAGTTCGCGGCGAAACATTCAGGCTCGGCTCCAAGTCCGGGGGCGGGAAAAAGTGGATAGTAGGTGAGAGTGAAGCAGCTGTATATGGTGGCGTACTTGACCAAATGGGGGCGAGTTGCCGAAACAAAATTCATGACTCGGCTCCAGAAGTCCCGGAGCCGATAAACAAGGTAGGGTGGTGGAGGACTGAAGCCAGCATGTCAGTGTGGGCGGATGACAAAGCGGCATTTGCGAGAACCATCTAACTCGGCCCCTAAGGATCCCTGACAGGCCGGGGAAAACGGGGTTAGAGGTGGCGAGGGAAAAGGGTCAACATGCTATTGGCGGAGCACGAACCTAGTACCGGAGTCTGCCAGTTTGTTAGCCGTCTTGTTCCAGCAGAAGCCAGAACCGTCGAAAAAAGGTAGAGATCGCGGAAAGGAAGGGCTCCAATCCATGGGTGCGGGACAATCGCGCACGAAGTAGACGAGTGCCACGGATTATGTCTCGGAAGCAGACCGAGCCGGAAACCCGGAGGGAAAATGGTGAAGAAAAAAGAGGTTGAAGCCGTCGATGATGACGATAGAATTACTAAAGCCAGCATTCCTGGAATCAGGCCAAATTTGAAAATTCGTCGCAACCACCACCAACTCGCGTCGGCAATGTGTGGTGCCGCGCATGGTGTCGCGCCAAGTGTTTCGTTCCAATCCTCTCACGACGAGCGATCGGGGTAATCGATTGCGCAACCTTGCACCATTGCTCTCCGGCCGCTGGCAAGCGACGACAAGCGGATGACGATCGCGATCAACTTCATCGCTTGCTCCTCGCCGACTAATAAAATCGTCGGTCTAGGAATGAATGGCCAATTATGACGGATAAACATTTTTCCTTCTCACACAACAACGAATCATTACTGACGCCCGCAATCACGACCTCCTCCAGCCTCTCGAATGATTCCCCTTTTTATCCAAAGAAAGACGGATGAAATCATTGTAAAAGCATTGATTGGAAGCCTGACTCCGTTAGACCTAGGACTGTCCAATTAACTAGGAAAATTCCTTGATTCTGTCAACCTCAAAACCTCGCCTAATGTTATTTTAAATTGTTCACAGATCACTCAGACTACCATCTGTAAAGGTAATCACGTAATCGTGGCGCGAGCAAACCCAAGTCAGTCATACAAAACGAAACCCAGGAGATCAGAATAAATACTAATTCAAATAAATTAATATCTTTCCAGAATATTTTACTGCCAACTCCCATACATTCACATCACACAACAGATAGCATCACGAGGAAAACCGCTTCCTACATCGATAGCAACAGAAGCTGTACGAATTTTCATTCAAATAAGCAGTCGCGTTCCAACTATTACGTTGCATCTCAAGTCCATAACAAACAGATGACCAAAGAGTGAACGGCAACTATCACTAAAAAATTCATAAATCTATCTACTCAATCTACTGAATCTACTTATTTGCAAAACTTTTAGGCCGCACTGTCGAAATGAAATGCGCTAAACTTCGATGCACGTGCAGCTTGTTTGCAACAGGGCAAAATGGAGTCTTATTATATGTGAGGATTTTTTTTGAAAAAGCCAAAGTCTTTGGTTCGACAGAAGAAGCTCCATATAATCTTCTACATTACATTAATACTTACTGCTTTATAAATAGGGGGAATTATTAACATTACATTAACTGCCAACACTCAAAAAAGGCTTGCCAAAGAATCCGATTCCAAAACATGAAACTACTGCAGACTGACTAGAATACGCGCTGCCGGCCCATGGAGCTCGTGCATCACGGTGCAGTTCAAATCGATTATCATGGCCTTTAGATGATTTGCAAATAAAAAAATGAATTCTACCTAGAATTCTAACGTGAGCAAAGTGCAGTTCGACAAAACATAGAAGATGGAAATGAAATAATAGCTGAAAATTTCTTAACTATAAAAACAGTAACAATCATCACTTAGACAAGAGAAAAGTTACGACATCACATGCTTTGTTCTTCATGACGTCACTATTTAATTTCACTATTAATAAAATTGCATACGTAGAATAATAGAAGGCTCCAAGAAACTACAGTGCTATCGACAGATGTTGAACGAAAAAAAAACTTTGAAAATAAAACAATCATACGAGTATCTGTCAAAACAACTACCTACGTCTTTTCAGGGCAGTATTACAGTACCTGACATTGCATATTAAAAGGCTACAAAAAGTTGATACCGCAACCGATATGCAATCCAGTTGAATGACTGTCACCTTCACAATGCTTGATCGGTGCGACGTAATTGATTTCAAGACGGAAAATGTTTCGGAAAATGAACGCAACTCCTAAAAAAGTAATACTGAAATCCGAAAATCAAAAAAAAATCTTGAGAGTGCTCGGACTTGGCTCGAAAAATTCGAATTTTCCTCCATAACAATGCTCTTAGCACCACTCTAAACGAGCTTTATTAGAATACGCGCATCCAGACATCTGAAAGACTGTGGCGAACGAGAGGAGGAGGGTGTCTACCCCTAAGATTTATATTCATCAAGTTTCAAATCGATACTCCTAAGAAAATTATGAGATGTGACCCTTTTCACATTTTCTCGGGAAAACGACTTAATTCAAGCCCAGCCCATTTGGACGATGTAGCTATCTGGAATGCGCCATAAATAAGGTGACCAAGTATTATAGCAGAAGCACCACACCTTTCAACTTTGAAGCAACTGGATATCCGCTCAGCTCTTAAATATGCTTGCCTCCGTTACCACTACAACTCGTGAGAGCATAGGGTGCGCTTCGGTGGTGGCACGCGACATGTCACACTCTTCACTCTTTTTCTTCAATGATTATTTTTGTTTTCCTTACTGACAGTCTTCTTTCCATCTCTTATCTTCCTTTGGAGAGCAATAACACAGCAGTTCGATCGCGACTTATGTGAAGCGCCAATTTTCCCGAATTTAGTTCTGGGTTTCACTAGAAAGCAAGGTTGCCTGACTTCAACCAAGTGGACCTATTTTGTAAAGTTAAATTAGCGCTTTGAAACGCACTGCAGCTGAAAATCTGCAGAAGTCACTTAACAAAGGCAGGGCCGAAATCTTACATGGAACCCTGTGTGCTGCCGTGGAGTGTACAGCAAGCTTTCAGGAGCCAGGAGCAACCATATCCAATAGTCTTGCAGCTGTTCTGTGCTACGACGCATCACAAATATCAGTGGATTGTCATCGCATTTCGGTTTGAGTTGCTTTTTTGTTTCATAATTACTTTGAAACCATACTTATGGCGCGGCAACACCCATGATATACCACCTACATACCATCCGAGCACGTCGTTCGACCTTTCGAGGGATCTAGTCGGTAACCGCTCTGGTCCAACGGTCAGCACAAAATCGCATGACGTGTTCCGGCCCCCTTGATCTTCGATTCCTTGGCGAAAACGGCAGCGTCCCGTCGCTATAAGTACCTGCTCAGCTCTGTACTTAATCGTTCATCATAGCAGCTCCCAAACCACCGTTCACGTAGTTCGAAGCGGTCGGAGATGGTGCCTTCCACTGAGTGTGAATGAGGCATCAAGAACTCAGCAACATCGTCTCCGTTGAGTTCAGCTGTTAATTGGCCCTACCCTACCACGAACGCGATAGAAATCGGCCAGTATGAACACCGATTGCTCGAATGTCCGGGTTATATTAGCACGATCCTGCCAGCAAAGCGGAATGGGTGTATTTGCCGACCGCCGACCTGAGTCCATGTCTTTCGCATTCCGAGCAGATCGCCGACGAGCTGGAGAAGCGATTGCCTGAAAGAAGTTAGGCACCGATGCATTCGCTCCGTCGTACTCCCCTCTTCATTTTCGTGATGATCTGCTTGAGGAACGGTAAAACACTGGTGT